TCTTCTGTCTGTTTTGTGGCTTTTTTTGTCTTGATTGGGTGGCAACATTGTGATTCCTGTATTGGAGGCTTTTAGTGCAGCTTGGCTCCGAGTAAATGGACAGCTATCATTTGTTAGGAAGCTAGGTTTCATCTGGGTGCCTGGTTGGGGTGTGGAGATATTTTTTTTTGTGAGTGCAGGCTTCCAAATAATTGACAGTCTGGTGGAATCATCTCTTCTATTCATGCTTTCTGGTCTTTTTTCAATCTCTATGGCTTCTCTGATAATTCTGTGGCTGGGGTTTTCTATAGTGGCTAGGGTTTTGGTGCCATTGAAGTTGATGGTATGATCTGTGGCTTTCACGTGTTGGACTAGTGAGGAAGTGTGTTCCAGCTTTTTTACTGCATTTTTGTGTTCATCCAGGCGGGTACTTATTCTTCTATTGGTCTGTCCAGTGTATGTGGCCGGGCATGATGCACAGGGGACTTTGTATATGCCTTGGTTTTCCAGGTCAATTTTATCTTTGGGGTTTCTAAGGATGTCTGCTATTTTTCTGTCTGTTTTGAAGGCAGTCTTGATGTGATGCCTGTGTAGTATCTTACTGATTTTGTCTGTAGTACCTCTTATGTAGGGCAGGACAGCTGTTCCATAGCTCTGTTCATCTTCTAGGTCTCCATTATGGTCCCCATTATGAAGATGAACAGACTATATGCTGAGTGCACTTGGTCAGCCAGTTGCACTCTGAGCCTTTTCTCTCTTAAATTCTTGAACTCACAATTAAATATTATGATCTTGGTCTTACAAATGCTGCAGGAAATTACATGACTCAGAGCTTGGAATCAGAAATAGTTTTATTTGCGCAAAGGTTCAGAGCAATTTAGCCAAAGCAACATCTAAACAACTTCCTATAGATTTTACACTCACATATATACATTTCAGAAGCTGCAAACCACAGAAATATAACTTGTCAGCATTTCATTGGTTACTTGAAATACAGCCCCTCTGTTGCTAGGCTACAGTAACGAAATACCTTCCCCTCTCACTAATCGAAGTTCCAAGGTGAATTTCCACAGCTTCTAGTTTCCGGCAGTACGCTTGTGCTTTTGTTGCAAGGTTATCTGTAACAAAGCTTCCTGCTTGACAAATATGATTGAGTGACTGACAGATGAACCTATGATCTGACATTTTTCATTTCTTTAATACACACATTTCACTATCAAAAGAACAATCTTTTATATCCTTCTTTGTGTTCTGCCTCACAATAGTGCAACACTGGTGACACAGGGCACAGCAGCACATGCATTTTCTGTGTCATATGAGAAGAGCACATCTTCCTTCCCCTATCCTTACCACTTTCTATAGAAGGATGATTGAAAGCATCCTGCCATATAGTAGTATTGTGTGGTTTGGAAGTATTACTGTTTCAGACAGGAAGGCTGTGCAGAGAGTGGTGAGGATGACAGAAATGATTATTGGCAGTTCACTTCCTTCTATCCATGAGAATTTCATTTTTAATGTGTGCTACGATCACCCTACCAACAAAAGTGCATATAGTTAAGGCTAAGGTTTTCCCAGTTCCAATGTATGGTTGGACCATAAAAAAGGCTGAGCGCCAAAGAATTGAGGCCTTTGAACTATTGTGCTGGAGAAGACTCCTGCGAGTCCATTGGACTGCAAGGTGACCAAACCAGTCAATCCTAGAACCGAAAACAGCTTGAAAACCCATTTTTGCTGTCTGAGTGCTCGGGCCACCACAGGCACCCCTGACATGAGTGATGTTGAGCTGGATATGCCCACCCTGGTCACACCCTGCATTCCCCACCAAGGTCAAACACAACCCTGATGCGGCCTTCAATGAAATTGAGTTTGACACCCCTGCTATAGACTCTTTGCTTATACCCACCTTTCTTTTCCCATCAATGTAATAGATAATTTGCAAAGATATAGATACATGAGGGTGATTAAATCCATTCACACAGTGGAACAGCCAACATAAGCTCGAGAATAGCCTCAAGTTAGACAAAGCCAGGTTCACATAGCAAGCTAAGTTGTGGGTAGTGTTAAAAGGGCCATCAGGTTTCTTTGGTGGGTTAACTAAACTACACACTATTTCATCTTATCCCCAACCCTCAACAGCAATGGCCCCATAACCCAGGTCTGTGTCTGGCTCAGACTGTGGTTCTTTTATCACCTCACTGCTAGTCTTTGTTTAACTAAGATGGGGAACAATGAAACCATGACAAAGCTGGACCGACCAACTTTGGCTTATTGAATAAGCCCCAGTTAAAACACAGATTTGTGTGTCAATTGCCTATGGGGGTAGAAATATAGGAATGGGGTACAGAAGGGTTGTTTTATATGGGGGGCTTGTCCTGGGTGTGGAAATGTGTACGTGCTTATTCTAGAATGTCACTTGAGGGGCGTGGGTGTATGTGTTGAGCCAGAAAAGGGATTGATTAAATGAAGTGGTTTGGGTTGGGTCTGTTCATTTGAACTGTGAGCATTATAATTATGTTTACATTGTGTTAATTCAGTTTTCTGTGTTTGCTTGTTTATTTATTTATTTATTTCATTTATTTGATTTGTCAATCACTTACAAGATAATAAGTATATGGATAAATATAGTTATGAATACATGAAATGAATACATATAAGAAAAATAATAGAAACAATAGGACAGGGATGGTAGGCACGGTGATGCGCTTATGCACGCCCCCGACAGACCTCTTAGGAAAGAGGTGAGGTCAATAGTAAAAAGTCTAAGGTTAAAGTTTTTGGGGTTTGAGGAAGAAACCACAAAGTCAGGTAGAGTATTCCAGACATTGACCACTCTGTTGCTGAAGTTGTATTTCTTGCAATCAAGTCTGGTGCGGTTAACCTTGAGTTTGTATCTATTTTGTGCTCTTGTATTGTTATGGTTGAAACTGAAGTATTCATTGACTGGTAGGACATTGCAATGTATGATTTTATATACTATACTTAGATTGGACCGAAGATGGCGTAGTTCTAGGTTTTCTAGATCTGGAATTTCGAGTCTGGTGGCATAAGGTATTCTGCAATGAGTAGAGGAGTGGAGAACTCTTCTTGTGAAATATTTCTGGACTTTCTCAACTGTGTTAATATCAGATACGTGATGTGGGTTCCAGACTGATGAGCTGTATTCAAGTATTGGTCTAGCAAATGTTTTGTATGCCCTAGTTAGTAGTGTGATATTACCAGAGAAAAAGCTACATAGGATTAGGTTAACAACTCTTAATGCCTTTTTGTCTATGTTGTTACAGTGGGCTCTAGCACTTAGATCATTAGAGATGAGTATTCCAAGGTCCTTGACTGAGTTTGGATCATCAACAAGGTCTTGACTATTCAGCTTGTATTTTATTTTCTGATTTTTTTTGCCAATATGTACACATATATAATATATTTGTTTTCGTAGATTTTCACGGGTACAGGTATGTAGGTCTAGGTGTGTTTGGGTCTTTTCCTGTGTAAGATTAAGAGTATCTTGGTGATGTTTCGGCGAGGTCCCACTCACCATCCTCAGGCTGGTGCTTTTGGCTTTGTGCCAGTGCAAGCAGTGTGTGATCGGAGCTGCCGTCTCTCTATAAATACTGGTGGTGGGGGCTGGTGTGCTGGGCTGGTTGGAGATATCCTGGATCTTATGCTGTAATCTCCTGGGTCGTTTGTTTTGTAGTGATCTTTTTTCCATTAGCCTCTCGTGTTTTAATGACCCCAAAACCAAACAAGCTGACACATGCCAAGAACACAGACCCAGACCCCAAACTCGAAGCCAGACTAAAACCTAGAATGCTACATCACAGCCACCCGCTCAGGATATCACATCAGAAAACTCAGGAAATTACACCACAAGAACTCAAGAAGTTGCAACACAGCAAATGACCCAGGATATCACAGCACAAGACCAAGGATACCACAGCAGTAAATCTCACAAGGTCATCACATAACCCATTACCGAAGCCGTTACTACACAGGAGACTAATGGAAAAGAGATCCAAACACAAACAACCCAGGAGATTACAATGCAGAACCCAGGATACCACAACAAAAGAACTCACAAGCCCATCACACAACCCATTACCCAAGCCGTTAAAACATGAGAGGCTAATGGAAAAAAGATCACTACAAAACAAACGACCTAGGAGATTACAGCACAAGATCCAGGATATCTCCACAACAAAACTCACAAGGCCATCACACAGCCCATTAAACCTACATCAACTCCATCAACCAATCAAGAGGCAGCAGCGCAGCCAACCAGCCCAGCACGCCAGCCCCCACCACCAGTATTTATAGAGAGATGGCAGCTCCGATCACACACTGCTTGCACTGGCACGAAGCCGAAAGCACTGAGGATGGCGAGTGGGACCTCGCCGGAACATCACCAAGATACTCTTAATCTTACATGGGAAAAGACCCGAACACACCTAGACCTATATATAATATATATGTACATATATACAATATGTGTATTTTTATAACTTGAAATAAGTGTTTAATTCTTACGTTTATGTTTAAAGGATTTCAGAGGCTGTTGATCAAGTAACTCAGTGGAGTCCAGGTTTAGTTAACATATGATTCCCCATATATTTGTACAAGTTATATAAATTTATAATTTTCCCACATTATATAAATAACAGGAGAACAAATATTTAATGTACTTTAGAAGGATGGATGGAGGAAATATTTTCATTTTGTGCAATCGAGAACAGATAAAGCATCAGCAGCAAACTTGACATCTTGCCTGCTTGTCAGCCTACTCCATAAATAAATAAAACTACTTGGCTGCAGCATGCCCTGTGCTTTGCAAATCCAGAACATTGCACTATGATCCTTACTTTGCAAATCCAGAACATTGCACTATGATCCTTACCTTAAGGTATTTACCCATTGAGAAAGAAATGGATTTTCCTTTCTGTTAAAAACTCCTACATCACAATTATTGCAGAATAGGGGATTTTAGAGTAAGAATTTCCCAAGAATTTCCCAAAATCAGAGAAAAAAAAGAGGGAGGAGTGGAGAAGGCATCTCTCTCTATATATATACTTGCAGTTGTATCACCCAGGTAGCAAACCATAGCTCGGTTTTACTTCAGCTGTACGAAAGGTAAGATTCAGCTTTTCTTAAACATTTTTTTAAAATTCATTATGTGCCTATTTATACAATAAATATACAGGAAAAAAAATCTTACATATAACTTATATTTTAAATTAGAGGCTCTGTCCAGCTTGTGACCCTCATTTTCAACTCTTGATTGCAGGCAATCTATTTCCAGAAAAACAATGAGAAAAATAGTCTTGTGCGTTCTTGCTGTAATACTTTGGTCACAAGGTAAGTTATCAGTCATGATCAGTCAACATTGACCGTTCTTCTTTCACAGTCCCCTCCTGTTAAAACTGAGAGGGCCTATTTGCAGATCCTACATGCAGGAAGGTAGCATAAGCATGCTTGGGATTGTTGGGAGGAAAATGCCTCCTGATGAGGATTCTTCCAGCCAGGAAACAACGCTTTGAAGAATAAATGGAAAAATGAAGCAGAGCTGCCGGAAAGAGGTCTTTTTAATGGCAAGAAACCAAGATGAGTGACATTCAGCAAAGTTTCTTGGCAAGCTAGAAAGAGTGATATTCAAACATGATTGTTGTATACCCTTTGAGTTTTTGTCTAAAATTGGTTTTTGGTGACATTTCTGCCAATGAGCCGGACAGGGCTTTGCTTGGAGATGTTTAATCCTGTGTTTATTGATGGGATAATTTTCCCTATTCTGGAAGGAGGAAGGTAATCTCTGTTCCTGAAAGGAAGCAAGGTTGAGAAATCTAATTCCTGTGTCTATTTGTTCTAGTAATTGGTCAAACAAGCCACAGCTACTATGTTTACTCTTTTGCTACATTCTAATGCTAATTGTGGGGTTTTTTTGTAGTTAGGTTTATTACACTTGAGCTTGCCTGAGGTATGAGTGTTTGGATTATTTGCTGCCTCATGGTTTCTTTTTCTAGGGGGGGGGTTCTTTCAGGATCAAAGGGGGATCTGATGGTACTTGGGGCACAATGGCCAGCACTGGCCAATTCTGCCCACTCCTAGGCTTTTCTTCCCAAGAATAAACTAGCATGCTCTTCTCCTTTCCCATTCAGGTGCTTCACTGCAGTTGCCAGAACCAGTTCTTAAAGGGTTGTGTACAATAGAGCTAAGTCAAAGATCAATCTTTTTCCTGCCTTGCCTAGAGCAATATGGACTTGACTTTTTAAACTTTCAAGGTCAAGGAATGCCAAAGAACTCAAAGCATATTATTTAAATATGACAGTCCAAGCTAAAACCATTCCTTACTACCACCCTGCATAACCTTGCAGATCTCTCTCCTGTCCTCTTACCTCTACTAGTTCATACAGCACAGGTGTACCCAGTTGGCTCTCAGCAATATATTGCAGTGTCTGGGAAATTCTAGACAGGCAGAAAAGGGGCATCAAGAGAAAAAACAGAAGGCAATACTTAATAAGAATGGCTAAATTGATCCAAGGCAATGACAAGCTGAATACTAATACAAGCACAGGCTTATTCTGAGAGACTTTTCAATCTGCCATGGTCAGCAGTTCCATTTTTAGCAGAGCTGTCTTCCATTTGCCATTTTTCCCAGAGGTCTCAATTCTCAAATCTTACTGAATTTGAAATTGAGCCATAGTGCTCAGACTTTCCAAAATCTTTGATGCAAATAATTTTCAGCATTTTTACTCCCAAATCCCATTGATGTAACATGTTAGCTAAAAGATAACTGATGGAAATGAGAGATTGAGTTGCTCTTTGTCTCCTGTCTTTCAGCTGTGGACGCTCTGGAATGTTATCATTGTCCCAATGGAGGTCCCAATTGTTTTACCCAAACCTGCTCTAGTAACCAGGACCAATGTATGACCATATGGTTTAGAGGAGTTGGTAAGTATAATAGTATGGAAAAAATGGTTATATTTAGCTCTTTAATTTGGGGTGGGTGGGGGTGAGGACTTCAATGAGCTTTGAAGAAAGGCTATGGAGAATCATCTGACGATGGAATTAGTTGAGATAAAAGTCTCCAAGTCTCCAAAACGCACAAACCTTACAAAACATGCAGCTCTATGAAGGATGCTATTTTCCACTTGAGTTGCTAAGTGCCTCTTTCAAAGGCTGTATACAGCCTTATTCGCTAATAGATGGGTGGACTACACGTAGTCACCTTCTGGAAGGTCCCACACATAGATGAATCAAATAAATGACCTTCAAACATGGAATATAATCATCCTTGGCTTGAATCTGAAATGAATTTAGTATGTTAACCAATTTTCCAAATTAAAAAGAAAGTATTGTTTTCATCAATATGATAGTTGAATTTTGTCCTGGAAGTAGTTGCAGGGTATATTGCTTTACTAGCTCTATCTGTGTAAGGGCCATAGCCTTCAACTCAAGAGGCCCAGGAGTCCAGGGTGGATTTTATTTCTACTTCTCTCTGAACCCAGGCAATAGGTTGTTAACATTGATCCAGCCATAGTGGCAATAAACAAGTCCAGGGATTGTTTGACCCAGGATCAGGGGTGGGATGCAAATATTTTTACTATCGGTTCTGTGGGCGTGACTTCCTCTTTTTTCGCAGGACCCCCTTCCCACACTCAATTTTTTTTTGCCTCCTGGGCCTCAGGGAAGCCTCCTGGGTGAAGCAGTGAGTCAACAAGGGGGATCCTGGCACAGCTGATTGTCGGAACAGCTGATCGTCGGGAGGGAAAAAAAAGAAATACCATAAGGAGGGATGGGGCAGGCGAGGAAGAATGCAGTCAGTGATCATGCACATGCACATGATGTTGTGCATGCGCAATAAGGACTGACTGGGTGGGAAGGGGAGGGGAGGGTGGAGAGGGGCGGGGCCAGCCAGGGGCACAATTTGCCAGTTCTCTGAACAGCACAGAATCGTAACAACCAGTTCTACAAAACAGGTCCGAACTGGTAGAATTGTACCCCTGCCCAGGATGCACCTTTCAGGACCGAAAGAATCCTAAGATACCTAGTTTCCATTGCTCATCAAAATTTGCATTAGTGTCTCAGGTATCCAAACAATAGAACTGACTAGATTAATCTGGACCCTGGAACAAAGGCAAGTGTTGCCCTAAGTATTGCACAAGAAGAACAACGAGGGACAATTCTTTATCAACAGCTTATGCAATGTTACTCATTACTACAAGTTGAGGCTCCTCTACAAGACTTGGATGATAGTGCAAGCAATAGTGCAGCCTGCTGATTTTTCCAGATATCGGGGTTGTTTTCAGGGGAGCAGGTAGGTCGCTTTCCGATCTGACCACCCTGCCTCAGTCTCAGTCTTGCTGTTCACGTGAAGCATGTTTTTCACATGAAAGAAGGAAGAATTTGGAATAATGTGGATGTGCTACATGCCTGGCCCAGCTTCCTGATCAAATGAAGAAAGGGTTGTTGTTTTTTTAATTTTAAAAAAGTACTTTATTAAAGTTCCAAATATTAAAAAGTTTACAAAAAGTAAAACGTTAAAAAGTTTTACAAACATTTCTGTAATAGAAATTATATCAATAATTTTCAATATCATTTTCTTGACAGTACACTAAATACCATATGTACACTTAGAGTTTGACAGTTTTTTCCATATTAATTATATTAATTCACAGTTCTTAATTAATGTTAAGAAAGGGTAATCTATCTAGGAGCTTCCATCATTAATAAAGAGCAATGTTGGTGAAGTGAAAAATTAGATTTATTTTTTCCGTAAGCAACCACAAGGTCTTTTTTTTCCCCTGTAGGATCCATGCCACCAAGGTATGGCAAGAGGTGTGGCACTCTGTATGAGTGTCAAACTCTGAATGCATTTCCACAGTCAGGAGTTAGTGCCATTTGTTGTGGCTTTGACAGATGCAACCGTTAGTGTTCCCTTTCAACGGGAGACCTTCTCGATGACATCATTGGCTTCAACTGATTGCATTGGATGTGATTTGTCTGAAATTGAAGAGTGATTTGGAATGTGCTACCAGTAATCAATAATAATGGAAAAATAAATAAAATCTTACATTGTATGCTGTGAATAAGGGCTTGGTTTTGTCTATCCTGTGTTTGGTGTTTTCTACACCAAATCAGCGTTTCTGGAGTTTCCTCAGGTACTGATAATGTTGCATAAAAGCTAACATAAGGGTACATAATATCCCTGAACACCACAACACCATGGCGGTTGTCAAAATCAAGATGAAAAGGAAAAGAAGACCCTTAACACTATTTCACAGCAATATGCATATGAATATCTCCATCATTTTCCTTAAAATTTGTAGTTTCCAACTTCAGTTGATGGTTAGCATATGTTTGGGAGGCCCTGGTCTTTAGATGCTGTCTTTAAATGCCAATTCGGCCTACAATAAATTGCCTTTCACCTACCATTTTAGTGGGGATGAGGAGCCTACCTAGCATGTAGAACCAACCCCTGGCTGGGCCCAAAAGGGAATATGCCCTTCTTAGTACTATTCCCTTCTAGAAACTGAGTTTGGGATAAATTAAATATTCAGAGGAATCGTGCCCATTGTCATCAGTGAGACATCGATACTTGTCAGAGACACCACTCCACAGATAACTGGGTATTAAATCCTATGTTTAAAGTTAAGAGTTAGAATTATCTCTTGTGTACTTCCTTCCTTGCTGCTCAGCATTATCCCTGGCTGACCTAATGGATTCCATGACTATTAATTTACAGAGATTTCTAGTTCCTGCTAGGCAACATTGAATCAAAGGCCAGCTCAGAGATTATGCTCTGCATGGATTGATCAACTATAGACCTATCCCACATCTTTGAGAGTCTAATGCATAGCAGGGATCACCTTCTAGATCTGTTCTTCCCCACTTGGGCAGTTACAACATGACTTGGCATTGGAGGAAAATGTCATTGGTGATTGCTGTGGACAGATCCTTCTTTGATCCCTTCAAACTCACTTGGTGTCAACCACCCCAGGGAGTCTATATTTCCAGAGATTTCCAGAGGGATTTTGGGATTCTCCTTGAGGATCTGGGTGGTAATTTGCTGAAAGCTTCCATGATATCCTTGAATGGTGGGTGGCAGGGACCTTGGACTGCATTGTGTGTCCTCTCCCTGCACGTGAATCATGGGAGCACATTGGTTTATCAAAGAGTTCTAGGAAATGAGCATTCTAGAGTGCCACTGGAAGAAAGTGGAAAGTACACCTAATCAAACATGGGTAAAAGGCCATGTTTAGGATTTTTCATGGTAATCAGGATGGTAAAATGTCAAAAAAATTGCTTTTATTGTATCTACTAAACTTCTTTTGGTAGTCCTGTTTAAGGTAACCCTACAGGGAAAATATCAGCCTTTCAAGGTAAACCAGATTAGGAATCCAAAGTCATGCAGGTCAATATTACTTTTATTATAAGGTTATGGTAACAGAATCTTGTAAGGATGCAGTGGCTCAGTGGCTAAGACGCTGAGCTTGTCAATCAGAAAGGGCAGCAGTTTGGTGGTTTGAATCCCTAGCTCCGCGTAACAGAGTGAGCTCCCGTTACTTGTCCCAGCTTCTGCCAACCTAGCAGTTCGAAAGCAAGTAAAAATGCAAGTAGAAAAATAGGGACCACTTTGGTGGGAAGGTAGCAGCGTTCCATGCGCCTTCGGTGTTTAGTCATGCCATCCACATGACCATGGAGGTATCTTTGGACAGCGCTGGCTCTTTGGCTTTGTAATGGGATGAGCACTGCCCCCTAGAGCCAGAAACGACTAGCACGTATGTGCAAGGGGAACCTTTACCTTTATCTTACAAGTATGAATGCACTCATTCCCCCCCCCCCACATCTTTGTGAGAACCAGGAATGGTTTTGTTTAAGATGTTTTTTTCAGGTTACCGTTCTGCCATGGACTTGGGTTTTTAAATATGTCTATCATCTTGGTAATGCCCATTCCTCCTGTTCCTTCTGCCTTTCTGTTACAGGAACATTTACAAGGCCGCTATACATATTAATGTTACTATCTTTCAGAGAAAGTTGCTCAAATCCATTTGTGCTCAGTTGTTCTCAGAGTGCATGACTTTTGCAGCCAGTCGAGTAGATCTGAGATAAGCCAGAGATAATTTACACTCTGTTCAGGTTTTAGTGGTCATGAATGGTATACCCTCCTTTCCCTTCAAAATGGCTTTTGTTCCTTCTTCTTGAATCAAAGAGCACGAGTGCACCACACAGCTTCTTTGCAACCGACAATCAAAGTTTAAACAGAGTTCATTTCACTCTATGTAACTGCATCCTTGCAAGTGCCCAGAATATTGGGAGCTTTGGATTCTTGGATTCTTAGTTGGTACCTTGATTTATCAAGAAGCTCTGGGAGATTAAAATCCTGGGGTGCCCCTGGAAGAATAATGAAGAGAACATCTGATCAAACAAGGGTAAAAGCCCATATTTAGTGTTATCTCATGGCAATGGAGCTGAAGAAAGGTCAGTCTTTCTTCAGCCTTATTGCATCTGCCAATCATCATTCAGCAGCTTTGTTTAAGGTAACACAGTTCCTACTGGGGAAAGAATACCCTACAGGAACCCCTGAGGGACCACTCTAAAGCAATTTTTTTTACTACCGGTTCTGTGGGCGTGGCTTGGTGGGCGGGGGAAGGATACTGTCAAACCTCCATTCAGAGGTGGGATTTGCCGGTTCTCCATACTACTCAAAATTTCCACTACCGGTTCTCCAGAACTGGTCAGAACCCACTGAATACCACCTCCGCTCTAAAGAATATTCTAATGAACAACTGGATAACATTACTCAAATCCATTTGGGATGGTACTCGATGTGGAGAAATCCAAATGAGGGAAAGAATTTTTTAGGATTATCTGGGATAAATTTGAGGCCGTGATTCTTACGAAGGGGGATCAGGTCTTTCAAACAGTTCAGCTGCCTGCCTATTAGAGGGCAGGTCTTTCTTAGGTTACCAAGGCTGTCTGAGAGGGGGAAGGTCAAAAAGTTGGGTCAGCTTCTTTTAGAGAGTGGATGTTCTCCTTGGACCTGAAGGCAGCAGTGCTATGACAATGATTTTGAGGCTCTCTAAGATTTAAGGCTTGGATAATGTTTACAAGGCTTTACCAGAGGTGGTATTCAGCAGGTTCTGACCAGTTCTGGAGAACTGGTAGTGGGAATTTTGAGTAGATCAGAGAACCGGCAAATACCACCTCTGACTGGCCCTGCCCCCATCTATTCTCTGCCTCCAGAGTCCCAGCTGATTGGCTGGGTCTTCTTTAGTTGCCTTGCACAGGAGAACGGAGCTGGAAAGCAGGTTAGTGGTGGGGGAGAGAATGAGGATTTTGCAGCAACCTTCTCCTGCCATATGAAGCCACCCCCACCAAGCCATGCCCACAGAACCCGCAGTAAAAAAATTTGAATCCCACCACTGGCTTTAACAGAAATATCAAATGACATTTCCTTAACAGGTTCATCTAATAATTCTGCAGAAATCCAAGCAGAAGGCCATTAAGATTTCTAAATTTGAATTTGGGGTTTCTGCTGTTATCAGGTGCAATATTTTTTTCTGAAGTTAATTCACAAGCAAACAACTTCAGCAGAAATTGTTAATGGTAAGGAAAGTGCTGGTTTTTTGGAACACACACCAAAAGAATCTGGGTAACTCCAGAAATAATGAAAATTTTTAGAAAATATTGGAAAATGAACATTCCTTTCTTTGGAAGCAATGGAAACTCAATGTAAAAGTAATGTGTTTAAGGAGGAACAAAAACCAATCTCATATGAAGGGGCAGGTGAACCTGTAACAGATCCCCAGCAAAATTTGAACATCAAGTTTTATTTCCCTAGATTCGATACAGTCATCAATTCTGTAGATGAGAGATTTGTACAGATGCAGACCATTAATTCTGTGTTCAGTTCAGTTTATAATTTGCTCTAGAAGTCAGAACAGAATGTAATGGACTGCTGCATACAACTGTAATCATCTTTAAAGCATGGAGAATTTGGGAGCTGTTGATTTACTGTATGCAAAAAATTCTATCGAGGAGAGTTCCAAGATGTTTACCATCATTAGAACCTTTGCATTTCATATGCAAAAACAAATTAATGGACAGTTACCCAAGCAATTCCTAGTACAATGAGAAGAGAAGAGAGGACAACCACATTATACAACTGTAACAAAACGTTAAGAAAACAAAACCTTGTTTCACTTTAGCTATACAAAAGGTAAGTTTCATCTTTTCATTGACATTAAGTTTAATCAATTTGTTGCCTATTTATACAATAAATATACAGTACAAAATTAAAACTGAGTAATGGACCTTATGTTCTAAATTAGACAAAGAAATACAGGTTTGGTTGTCCAGAGAAAACATGGTTTTACTATTTATTGTTATTGTAGCAGTATTATAATTATTATTATGGTTCAGCCAGATGTTTAGACTGGATTTGGCATTTTATCCCTCTTTCACATCTTTCACAAAGACATTGGATAGGCAGATGTATTTAATAATACATTTAATAATTTAATAATCCTCAGAATATTTGTGACATAGGCTAATCTTGTAGCCTATAGGTTAAATTGTATTACGGTATGTATTAACGTGCACAGTCTTTTGTGAAAATCAAAAGAAAGGGTACACCAAACAGCTAATGACCCTAATTTCCAACCTTTGACTGCAGATAATCAATTTCCAGAAAAATAATGAGAAAAATTGTCTTGTGTGTTCTTGCTGTAATGCTTTGGTCACAAGGTAAGTTACCACTCATGATCATTCAATGCTGACCCTTCTTCTTTTACAAATGCAGTCCCTTTCTCTTAAAGCTAAGAAGAAGGCTGAGAACAAATTCATAGCCTAACTCAAATACATTTTCAACATATCAATGTTACTATAGGTTTTTATTCTATTTTCTAAGTTAGGGCCCATGTCAGGGCACTGGGGAAACTGCAGATGGTGAGATGCAAGCAAGATTATATAGGTAGTCCTTGACCTATGAGCACAATCAACCCCAACATTTTTGTTGCTAAGTGAGACAGTTGTTAAGTGAGTTTTGCCCTATTTTATGACCTTTCTTGCCACAGTTGTTAACTGA